TGGACCATATATCCCAACACGATTAAACTAGCTGATGGCATTTGTGTTTCTAATCCAACCCATGGCTACTGGACAGACTTGAAAAAGGTTGGCAGTTTTTACATACTAGATCAGCCTGGGAGGTTGCCATGTGTTTCTATACAGAAAATGTAACCTCTTAGGTTCTAAGAGAGTGTAAATACTTTAATGATGCAATTCCAAATGCAAAAAGTAACCAATGTCCTGAGTAGAAAAACTATATTACCATCCCCTGCTTACTAGCAGGCTCACTGAAGTATATATGAAGTAAACTTGCTCAAAATTCCCCATTAGGGAGGCTGGGAGTAGAAAGAGGTGACCAAGAAATAACATGGTGTATAAAAAATTTACTCAGAAGAAAGCATAACTTCTGTTGATGCACAGCTTACCAAAAGCTGGCATACACATGAACGATGGAACCACAATCACTGTTTTCTGAGAATTCTTTGGTATTACATTTTTCCAAATGTTCTTTATGTCTTACGTTTTTCCATTTGCAAAAACCCACTTACAATTGTGCTTTTCTTTAGTTGATATTAAATGTTATATTCAGGCTGTATACATTTTATGTGACTGTCTTCATCTTAAATCAACAGTTTAAAATAATCCAGACAGGTAATTGCCTCAATGATTCTAGATCCAAGAACAAAACTAGGTATTCTATTTAGCGATCTAGCCAATCCTCTTTCTTTTAACAAAAAACAAAGGAAGGGAGGGAGGGAGGAAAGAACAAAGAAAGAAAAACAACTATAATTTAGTTCTTTGCATGTAATTTTAAAAGAAATCAATTTACAAATCCTGTCAATCACATTCATTACAAATAGGAAGTACTACCACTAGCAGCATAACTTCAAGTAGTAGTGCAAGACTGTATACCCTAAGTGTGGACAAAGGACCAACAGTATTGACATCACCTGGTAGTTTGTCAGAAACGCAAAATCTCAGGCCAGACCTTAGACCTCTTGTATAAAGATCTGCAATTAAACAATATCCTCAGGTGATTCATGTGCACATTGAAGTTTGAGAAACACTCATATTTAAAAGATATGATATATTTTTGTCTCTTAGGATACTACCAATAAACAAAGAAAATTATTTACTATTTCCTACTACCAGTAGGACATTCTGCAAAACCACAAGTAGGATATAAATATGAATATGATCCCACCTAGCGTGTATTAGATACTAACTCTCTACCAGATGCCCTAAGTGATTTACATGCATTTATTAATTGAATCCTCATAACAGCCCTAAGAAAAGGATGATATTATTATTATTATTCCCATTCACAAAGGAGGAAATTAAGGCTAAGAAAGGTTAAAAGTAACTTATCCAAATTGACCCAATTAGTCTGATGTGAAGCCAGTATTTGAAATCAGATAAGTCATTAACCAAAGTTCACATGATGGGGCTTCCTTAAAGCTTGGGGTTCATACCAAAGTGGACATTAAAGCATTAAAAATTGCTAACAATTATAAACTCAATAAAATCTTAATTAAGAATAGGATTTTATTAAACTTGACAGGCTATGTGTAAAGAGAAAATGTATGTGATTCATAAAAGAAGTTTTTTTAAAAAAGTACAAATACATACTACTAGATTTTTAAAAACACTATCAAAAGCTACAGTGGGTTAACTCAGCGTGATACTGGTATAGGAAGATACAATGTATATATATATCAATGAAACAGAATAGAGTCCTGACCCAGACCCTTTTACAAACAGGAATTTATTTTAGATAAAAATAGAATTTCAAATGAATTGGAAAAAAAGCCAAATTATTAAATAAAAGCTATTAGATCAGCTGTCTAAAACTTTACAAAAAAATTAAGTTACAAAGCATCTATCAAGTGGAAAAATGGGCAAACCCTTTGAGGCAAGAATACCTCTCTGCAGATTCTCTTCCACAGAAATACACTTGAGCACGAAGATGAATGTGTGATCTGCCCTGAAGCAATGTTGCTAATGCTAAATCTCCATCAACACAGGAAGAGACTGATAAATTATATTCTATTTCTACTTTAGAATTACATGTAGCTGGACGGGTGCAGTGGCTCATGCCTGTAATCCCAGCACTTTAGGAAGCCAAGGCAGGCAGATTGCTTGAGCCCAGGAGTTCAAGACCAGTCTGGGCATCATGGAGAGACCCCATCTCTACCGAAAATACAAAAATAAAAATAAAAATAAAGTCAGGTGTGGTGGCATGTGCCAGTAGTCCCTGCTTCTCAGGAGGCTGAGGTGAGAGGATCACTTGAGCCCAGAAGGTGGAGGCTACAGTCAGTCATGATCATGACACTGCACTTCCACCTGTGCCACAGAGTGAGACCCTGTTTCACCAAAAAAAAAAAAAAAAAAGAGTAACAAGTAGCCATTAACAAAAGAGGTATGTACAGACCATGGAAAGATCTCTGAGACTTGGAAAGTGAAAAAGCAAGCTGCATAATAAGTATAGTAAGATTCATTTGCATATTTAAAACATACGTATATGTATGTATTATGTAAATCCAGAAAAGAAAAACAAACCTTAGAATGGTATTATCAAACTTAACCTTCCCTCTTCTGAGTGGGAGTAGGGTGGTGATGGCACATCTACATTTCACTTTACTTCTATATTGTTAGAGCGAGGATGAGTTGTTATTATTTGTATTACTTTTAAAACATAAAAATAGAATACAACATGGAGTACACAAATGCAGAGCAACCAGTAGAACTAAAGTGAGGAGGGAAGGAGGGCTGTGAAGCCACCGCACAGCTGATGGAAAAGAAATTCTCCCTTCAATGCAGCTACAAAGAAGCCTGCTTGGAGGAGGGGGTTTCTCCCGCAAGGCCACGATATTCTTTTTGTTTTGGTTTTGGTTTTTTTTCCCCCGTCTTACACATTTTTTAAGAAATCAAGAAGAATTTCCTCCCCCAGGGAAAGGAGGGCCAAGGCTCACTGTTCCTGTAAATGAAGGAGATGACACTCACTACGATTCCCTTCTACTGCAGCCAAGGAACGCCCCAGCCCTTTCCCATAAGAAAAACCTACGCTTTCTTCTTGTCAAATGTAGTACCACTGATTTCTCTTTCAAAACCGTAATAGTTCTCCTAACTTGGTTTTGTCCTCAGGACAAAGGGTTACAAAAACATTAGAGATCCAGCAACACCTCTGCATGTGTTCCTGGTCTGTTCAGGCTACAGAAAAGAGTAGATGGGAAAGAGGAAGTGTTTAAGTGTTCTCTCCCCAATGCAGCTCGAGTCCCTGAGGAGGGAACACCCAAGACCAGCCTTTTTCTCTCAAAGCCACCTTTGATACAAAAGGCTGAGCTACACCTGCTGGGACAAATAGTGGCAGAACTGGGACCAAGATATAAGTCACAAGGAGGCAATTTACAGCTGAGAACTAGCTCTTCCTGCAATAAAACGTGAAGTGGTGAGCTTCCTAGCTCTGGAGGCACTGAACAAACACTACTGGGGAAACATTAAAAGGAGCAGTTCCTGAAGACTCTGAATCGGAGGCTGTGGTTGTAGTCTGATGCTCCGGAAAGCTTCAGAAATGATTCTCAGACACAGCGGAGTTTGGGAACCTCAAGGACCTCTGAGTGCATTTTAAAGCAGCCCAGGAGAGAGACAAGCAGGACAACAATGAAACACGCGGTCTTAGAGTTTGAGCCACAGCACAGGGATCACGAGCAGACTCTAAACCCAAATCCTGATCCTGCCACCTGCTAGCTGTGTGACCCTAGATAAGTTACAAAACCTCTTTGGGCCTCAGTTTCCTCAATACAATAAGAATGACAAAACTAGTACCTGCCTCACTCTGAAGCTTAAATGAGCTAGCATATGTCAAGTGCTTGGAATAGGGGGCTGGCCCACAGTAAGTATGAACCATTATGATTTTGCAGACAAGAAAACTAAGAGGTGATACGTAGCTTGACCCATATTCCAAAGTCAGTTTTATTCTTGGGAATAAGACCCCAAAATTTCTTTCTCTGCCATCAGAATTCCTTCTAGCTCAGACTAGATATCCCACATTCATTCCTACCTTTTCTGCCAACATAGACCCTCCCATTTACTTCTCTTGAGTATCTTCTTCCCAAAGTGTTCTCCAGGCAGGTCTGTTACCAAGCCACTCCATCAGCAGCACCTAGCACTGTGCCTCCGCAGCAAGGCAGGCAGGATGGATGGACGGATGCAGGCACGCATGGGTGGGTAGATGAATGGCAGATCAAGAACTATCAAGAAAGGAATGGCGGTGTCAGAAATAAAACCCTGGCCTGCACGAGCCGGCTTGGATTTCACTGCCCTCACAGCTAACTATATGGCCTTGGGCAAGTTACTAAACCCCTCCGTGCCTAGGTTTCCAGAATGTAGAGGACCACTTCCATTCACGTGGCTGGAGAAGAAGGTAAGCGCCCGGGACACTACCGCCGAGTCGCCGAGGGTTTCCTCTGTCCACCTGTGAGTGAGCTCCTACCCCTTCTACTCTAGGGAGCAGGTGGGGAAGATACAAGGATTCCCAGAGAAATGGCTCTGTCGGTTGGGAGTTAAGGGTTACGAGAGGAGAGGAGAGGTTGGGGAAGCAACCTTCCAAGAGGGGATCAAATGGGGATTTTCACTCAACAAGCATTCCCCCATCATTTGAGAAAGAGGCGCTGGGATGGTGAGTTTCACACAGGCTGTGAAATGGGAGACCCGGCAGCGTGCGGCTTGTGAGGAATGAATCTTTGAGTGTTTACCCACCAGGTAGGTGGGCCTGGGGCGAGGACCCTCCGAGTGCCGTCCCCGCGCAGGTGGAAGCCCAGCCAAGGCAAACGCGAAGCAGGGGCAGCGCCAGGAGGGGAGCGGGCGGCTGCGCTCCCGGCCGGTCCAGCAGAGACTGGCCTCCAAGTGTTCGGATTCTTTCCCGCGCAGCGCCGGGCTCGCCCGTCGGAAAAGCCAGGGAGGGCGGCGAGGAGCCGGGGCTCCAGCAGAGCGGGGCCGGGCGCGTCGGGGATACTCACGCCGCGGGCGAAGGGCTCCGCGAGCCGGGCCGAGTCCTCCGCGGCGGGTGGGGCGCGGGTGCGGGCGCCGGTGTGGACGCCGGAGCGGACGTGCCGAGGCGGCCCGGGCCGGGGCTATGAATCAGCTGCGGGGCGAGCGCGGAGGGGCGGGAGTTACGGGAAAACCGCGGGGGAGGGCAGAGGGGTGAGGTCTTTTGCAATTTCCCGTCTTGCTGCGCACTCTTGGCACTGCTGGGACCCACAGGAATTCGCCTCCCTTCGGTCCCGCGGGGGAGGCGGACGGGATCCTGCGGGAGGCGCGGCCTCGCCACCCGGACTTTGCGGGCGGGCGGGCGGCGGGGAGAAGAGGAAGTGGGAGAGGCCTGGGAAGGAAACGCGGAAACCGAAAACTCGGCGGCCGAGGCTCTGCGCCCCGCGCGCAGCGCTGCTCCTGCCCGGGCCGAGGACGCCCGGGACAGCCGGCGGGACCAGAGGGAAGCCGAGTGACCGCTGAGGCCTGGGCTGTGTATCCCACAGGGGCACTTGTCGTCCCTACCCAGAGGCCAAACCAGTGAGATCCCCGCCGAAAATCTTCAGGCAAGAGAAGTCCTTTAACCAAACTTTTGGCTGTGTTTCCATTTGACGTCCAGAGCAATGAAACCGTGTTTGAACCGAGTCATAGGGTCCCCGTGTCCCCCCCACTCGCGTTCTATCTAAAAACGCCCTGTCCGAAAAAGTTTCTTCAGCTGCAACAGTTGCGAAGCCTTTGCTACACATGGTTTACTTTTCCCCTTAAAAATGCCTTTCAGTCTTTACCGTGTCTGAGCCTTGGAAAGGCGCGTTTGACCTCCCTTAGTTACAGGATAACGGAGCCTTCCGAGGCAACCTTGGTCCGGCAGAGGAGGGGGGTCTGGCTCGGGGGTCCCAAAGCCTCGCCTGTCTGGAAGCCTGACAGATCGGCAGGCAAGGGGCCTTGCTCCAAGTCAGCTGAGCCTGGTTTGGTTTGAGTTCGGGGACCTTGGAAAGTGTCACAAAAGGAAGATGGTGTGAAGGGGGGTGCGGGGCGAAACCAAGAGTGATCCACGAGTACCGACGGTAAGCATATCTTAGAATCCTATCTTGAATGGACTGGATGACTCAAAATAATGTCAGAATTATTTTAAAATGTTAGTTTTATGTTTGTTCACATATCTGGCTCCTCCCTAATGTTATCCCAAGGAAAGTTGGGAGTCTTTTTTTTTTTTTTCCTAAAACAAAGGCCTAAAGGCCCTAATACACTTAATGCCTAATGGTGCCAGAAAGACTGTGTTGCATAATAAATATTTGATGATAATAAAAGGTATTTTTGTCTCAATAAATGTATAGTCCTTTGCCACACCTCTCATTACTTGAAGACTTTTAAAGAGTCCATTAGTTTAGCCGTCTGCATGGTTATGGAAACTGTCAAGCCCAAGAGTTGGAAATACAAAAAATATGATTTTGTATTTTACAGAGAAAAAAATTATTCTTTATAGAAACAGTTAAAAGAGATCTCTCTTCTAGCAGATGAGATGTAAAATAAAAATATTCAGCCCAGTATGAATTTCTAAAAAGTGAATCTTAATTTATTTGGGGCTCCTATTGCCATTGAAGAAGGCTGAAGTGTAAAAATTTTTTACAATAAAGTGCTCACATACAATTTATCTGTTTCTGCACCATTCTAATTTCTTACATTTATACTTTATTCTAGAATCTAGTTGCAGTAGCACTTATACATTTGCCATCATGTCCTTAACAGTGGGTATAACTTGTCCATAAAGTCAGATCTACCCCAGACCTCAAAATATCACTTTATTTGGAAGTAGTTTCGCAGATTTAATCAAGTTAACCTGAGGTCATATGAGAGTAATCCAGTGTCTGCTGTACTTCTCTAAAGAGGGGAAATTGGACACAGACACCCACCCAGAAAGAACACCGTGTGACCACTGAGACAGATATCCTGCTTATGCTGACTCAAGCCAAGAAATGACAGGGTTGCCAACCGTCACCAGAAGCTAGGAGAGAGGCATGGAATGGGCTCCCTTTAAACCCCTAAGAAGAAGCCACCCTGCCAATGTCTTAATTTCAGACCTCTGGCCTCCAGACTAAGAGAATACGTTTCCTTAAGCCAGCAAGTTTGTGGTAATGTTTTACTGCAGCCCTAGAAAGCTGATACATAGTACCAGGAAAGTGATACCATGTTCCTATCAACTATTGTCCTGAAAATAGCTAATAGGAAAAAGGTGAAAAATACCAATGGCTTATTAAGCTAAGAGCTAAAATAGCCATCCTTACTTAGCTTTGATAAGATTGTGTGCCTAAGGCATATATTATTCTACTTCATTGAACACTCTTTCTTGTGTTCTCTCTTCCTTTTGATTTCAGTAGCAATACTCTCTCCATTCCTTCTTCATTTCCCTGACTTCCTTCCCTGTCGTATTTTTGGGCTTCTTGTTCTCCACTTGCCCCCTAAATGTTGGTGTTTCCCAGGGCCCCATCCTTGACCTTCTCTGAATTCACAGTCTTCTGCATGATCACATTCACATCTAGGATTTCAATGATCACGTGTGCCTTGAGGGCTCTCAGCTCTTCCTTTCCATTGCAATGATTTCATCTGCGCTCCAAACCAAAGTATTCGTACTTCAAAATTAGTATGCCCAAATTCAAACTCTTTAGTTCTTCTTACTTGATTTTATTATACTAAGTGAATGGCCCAGCATTTAACCTTTACTAAGTTAATGAACCAGCCTTCATTTAACCTGTACTAAGCTTTAACCTTTACTAAGTTAATGGTCCAGGTTTCTAGACACTGGAGGCAAAACCCTGGGAATGATTCTCGATCCATCCTCTTTCATCTTCCATCTACCATTGGAAAATCTCATATGTATTACTCTTATGGGGGAGGAATTAGTGAAATGTATCGCTACCTTATCTAACTTCTCAGAGGAAAAATAGTTCTGTGACAGTCAGGAACATTATATTCATCTATATGTAGACATCTATATCTACATATATGAAATCAGCTATGTAAATTGTAAAATACCATTATGATTCTATTTATCCAACTACTGTAAATATCTATAATTACAAGTTTAGCAGCATTTTGTTACCAGCTGATGGAATTTGAAGGAATTGGGGATTTTGTGAAGAAAGTGGCTTCATCACCTAAGCAGCAGATGATGGTTTACAATGACCGTCATCTACAAGTTCTGTAGAATTCTGTATTTTGTTGGCATATTATCACATTTGACTTTGTGTGTGTGAGTGTGTGCGTGTGTGTGTGTGTGTGTGTGTGTGTGTGTGTGAGACAGGGTCTCTGTCATTCAGGCTGGAATGCAGTGGTGCAATCTTGGCTCACTGCAACCACCACCTCCTGGGCTCAAGGAATCCTCCCACCTCAGCCTCCCAAGCAGCTGGGACTACAGGCACACAGCACCACGCATGACTAATTTTTGTATGTTTTATAGACTAGACTGGTCTGGTGCAGTTACACATCTAACTTCTAAATATCCAACAAGGTGACTCAGCAATAACAAAGCAAGATGTTGAGTATAAGGAGACTACATGGGACTTTCTCATTTTATCATTTTCGGAATTCCCTATAATGACTTGATGATGAATTGTTTTTCTTTCAAAATCTGTTACGTGAATTTAAGTGATGAATATGTTATCCATAATAATTCTACAGGAATTCCTTGATTAAACTAGATATTATCTGAAAATTGATTGATTGATTGATTTTGTACATTCCACTCTCTTCTGGATGTTGTAATTGCGCTCACACCTTGTCCCAGAAGTCATCAGAAACCAGACAATGGGGAGAACCTTCCTGGATCTTTTACTCTTTTTTCCCCTCAGGGACTTTAGGGAAAATATTGAATATGTGTTTGTTTAGATAGCTGCTTTTATTCTCTTGGCCTATGGTTATGGCACTTACTAAATTTGAGCGCAGCTGTAATGCTAAAAGATAGAACATTAATACAGTGAGAGAGGAAGTACTGTAGAGAGAATTAGACAGGAACTTTTGGGACTTTTGAGAACTATTGGCTTAAGGTTAATCCTAAATAAATCTGTGGTTGTATTTATGTTTAAACTGAATCTCTTACAGAAAACATATAGTTGAGATTTTTTTAAAAAGTTGACCAATAATCTCTGCATTTTAATTTGATAAAGACTGTTTAGTAGACTTACATTTAGGGCAATCATTGATATGCTTGTGTTTAGTCTACTATTTTACTATAGGTTTCCTGTTTTGTTCTCTCTGTTTTTTTCTATTCCTCCTTTTCTTTTTTTTCTGGACTATATAAATACTTTTTATCTTTTTATATTTTCATATTTATTTTAGAGATGGGGGTCTCACTACATTGCCCAGGCTGGTCTCAAACTCCTGGCCTTAAGTGATCCTCCTGACTCAGCCTCCCAAGTAGCTGATATTGCAAGCATGAGCCATCATAGCTGGCTTTGAACACTTTTTAGAATTCCATTTTTATTTGCCTTTTGTTTTTTCTTTTTTTTGGTTATTCCTTTTTGCATGATGTCTTAATGTTTTCTCTATGGGTTACACTGTACATTCTTAATTTCCACTGTGTACTTGGATAGTATTGTACCTTTTCACTTAATAGGTTCATTTAACCACACACTGCATCTTTTACACTATATTTGTAAAGTATATTACACCTACAGACAAGATAAAACCCACAATGTAATATGTATTTTAAAGAAATTAAGAGAAAATCTTTCATATTTATATACATATTTACATTTAATCCTTCCCAAAGATCTAAATTTCTCCATGTTAGCATTTCTGTAAACCTAAAAAACTTACTTTAGTATATTTTTTATTGCAGGTCTATTGGAGATACATAGTGTTAGTCTTATTTTATTTGAAAAAAATCTTTATTTCACTTTGATATGCTTGTGTTTAGCCTACCATTTTCCTGTAAGTTTTCTGTTTTGTTCTCTCTGGTTTTGTTGTTCTGTTCCTCCTTTTCTTCTTTTTTTTTTTCCTGGATTATGAAAATACTTTCATCTTTTTATATTTCCATTTTTATTTTTTTAGAGATGGGGTCTCACTGCATGGCCCAGGCTGGTCTCAAACTCAAGGAATTCTCAAGGAATGTTTTTGTTGGATATAGAATTCTGTTTTCTTTCATCTATTTAAAGATACTGTTCAACAGTTTAATGGCTTTCATTGCTTCTGATGAGAAGTCAGCCATTATTTGATTCT